CTGAAAGCCACAGACAGGAAGTCAGACAGCACTGAGAGACAGAGTAAAGGCCGGGCCACGCCAGCATTTAAAACAGCGTAAGCGTGACAGACCTGCAAAGTTCACCTGTATTTAAAAATAAGTTGTCTTTTTCCTTTAATGTAAAAAAGCAACTTGTGGCCGCCACTTGTTTATCTGTTCTGGACTACGGGGATCTTTTAAATGTCCATACTTTAGCACCGAGTCTTCATATGGTTGACACAGCTTACCACGATTCCTTGAGGTTCATAACCAATTGCAAAGCTCTGACTCACCACTGTGAGTTCGACTCTCAGGTAGGAGGTGCTGCTCTGGCCACACATAGACTCTGTCATTGGTACACCTTTATATTTAAGGCAGTTCTTGGTCTGCTGCCACACATGCGTTCTTATCACGCAGAAAAGTGCCGGACAACGCTCTTGTTTATGCTTTCTTTGCCAAAAAACCCGTACTTAAACTGGAAAAAGGGCATTTATGTATTCTGCACCCTCAGCATGGAATTAGGGCTGGACAATAAACAATAACAATAATCAAATCGAATTATAATTTTTTTCAATAACAATATAACAAATGTTCAATAAATATTCAATAAATGTTTTATTTTATTCACTTGAATCGTACACGAATTAGGACTTCATTTTTCTTATTAAGATGTTTATTCTGTTGAGGAAAAAGGACTGAAAAAGGTTTTACATTAAAGATATTGTTAACTAAGATTTTATCATAAATATTTTGAATGTGAATCTCAGATTTGTGAAGTGATCCACTGTTTGACATCAAGTGTTGACCATAAAGAAAAGTTTAAACCGCAATTAACCATCTGGTTTCTTCAACTTTCACTCAGGAGCAAAAATCAGCCTTTAAACATGAAAGACAAAACTATTTGATACTTATCGTGATAATTATCGATATCGAAAGATATGAAACTTTTTATCGTGATAACATTTTTGGCCGTATCGTCCAGCCCTACATGGAATACGTTGCAGAAGGACTTGAAACTCAATGAATTAACCTCGTTAAATGCTTTAAATCCAAAATAAAAGAATTAGAGGCAGAGTCCTCAATACGTAAATGTTTTTAAATTGTGAATCTGACTCTTTTGAAATGTGAGTCATTTTTATTTTATTTATGCTGCTGCCTGTCTTGTCCAGGCTGCACCTAATTGCAAAAGAGATCTCTATCTTAACGGGACTTCATTTTTAAATTAATATTTAAAATATTAATTTACGATAAATATATGGCGTGAACCACAAAACATGCTGTTCAAAAGCTGGACCTTTTGGTAATTAGCGTTGTTGCGAATGTAACGGGAAGTTTTTCTTACTTCTGGAACAGAACGTGGCGCCTCCACTTCGGCTCTCTTTGGCTAGCATTTAGCTCGCCGGTTACCGTAAGTTACCAACTGGTCCTGTTAGTTCTCGCTACAACACAAACATCCGCTTATCCTGCGTACAGGGTCGCGGGGGGGCCGGAGCCAATCCCAGCTTACAACACAAACATATTTATTACACAAGGATTCGTTTCACTCTCTGGTGCCACCCAACCGTAAATCGCGGCCGGATTTGTTGACAGAAATATAGAATAGCGCTAGCCTTATCCTTCAAAATCAGTGGACAATCACAGTCCTCACGCTACTGCCAAGGAGCAGCTTCAGTTCTTTTCTTTTGGCTGAAGACATGACGGGCACAAAGATGCTAAAACACTGAACAACTCGTCTCTAAAGTGGTGGAACACAGTGGGAGGGCTGAAAGGAGGACGGACAGACAAAAAGACTGTAGTAAGTGTTGTACAGTGCCTTTTCAGCAACACTGTGGGACAGAGAGGAGAAACATACAGTACAGTATTAGTCAGAGAAAACAAACCCGCGACACACCCACAACAGATGGAGTGACATTTAAAGCACCAAGAAAAGAGACTCGCCAGCTTTGGAGATTACAGCAGCTGTGTGTTTGGCAGGCAGAATGTGCAGAGTAATCTCGTGTTTGATTTCATGTTTGTGGACAATTTCCCTCACCTCCTCGTCGCTCTCCGGCTCTGCCGCCTTCTTCTCCTTCTTCTTCTTCTTCTCATCCTCCTTCTTCTTCTTGTCTTTGTCTGGCAGGATGTCGTCCAGCCAGGCCAAGTCGTGTTGCGAGAATATCAGATCCAGCAGCTTCCGGACGAGCATCAGACCCAGAATCTACACACAGAGGAATCAAACCGGTGGATAAAAGAAGCCACCGCCTCACTCTGCCTCTGAACGTTGGACTCAAGGTGCCGGAAATGTCGACTTAATATCGCGACACAGTTTACCGCACATAAAGTTCAGGAAAATACAGGTTTCCATCCAAATGTAGCACAAACGTTAACCGAATTTCAGAAAGTCGGCAAACGAAAATGCGACTTTGGCTCCATCCCCTGCCGCTGTGAGAACATGACTGATGGCGATAAACAGCGGGTGGATCGCTGCCGTTAAACCATCGCAGAAGAAGAGGACATAACGAGGTGACGTCTTTAAAAAAGCTGCGGTCAAAGCTCAAAATGAAGGAAAACGATCAGACGTTTCTTTTAGCTTTATGTGTTAAAGTGATGAAGGCTACCGTAACCCTTGAGCTGATGCATCGAGACGCTTCGAGATATAGAATCGAACCGTTGACCTGAAAATCATAATCGAAACAAATCGTGAGACCAGTGAAGATGCACAGCTCTAGCATTAATGCACATAGTCTGTTGCTTTCACACTTATTTTGCTTTTTATTGATAGTAGCAAACTGATACTGACGTCAGATATTGGGCCGATACGGACTCATAATAGCTGGATCAGGTATCGTGACAAGGGGCCCGATCTATTGTATGTAATTACAAGCGTTTTACAGTTGTGGTGGCTAATGTCACTAAGGTGAGAGCAGGATCCAGAGCATTTAGTTATCAAGCGCCTCTACTATAGAACCAGGCCCCAATTTGGGTTTGGGAATCTGACAACATCACTTTTAAGGCTAGACTTAAGACTTTCCTGTTTGATAAAGCTTTTAGTTAGGGCTGGAATTGGGCAAACTTTAAATTATTAACCGTTTTTTATTATTTTATTTTGCTGATATTATTCTGATTTTATCTTGTGTTTTATCACATGGATTCTGTATTTTACGGCTTATTTTTTTAAATTCCAAAGCATTTTGTAAAGTGTATTGGGACCATATCTTTTGGTGATTTTGCACTTTAAATAAAACTTCACTGCTTTTACGAGACGCGTCAGCAGTGCGTCAGTAGACCCGAACATCTTGCTAGGAGAGCCAACATCGCATTTTGTTTTACTAAGTTAGGAAGTAATGTCAAGCCTGATGTTACATAAAAAAGAATAATCCCCGGCCTCTTCTTCACAGTGAGCAGCTCATTGATTTTACGATACTCGTCACCAGCTGCAACCCAAAGCCCAGCTATTGGTATTGGGACTGAAAAAGTCGGATTGGTGCGTCCCTCATTGATACACAAACTCTTCTACCCTTAGCCAAACTTCAAAATGTATTTATGATATTTAGATTTTTAATTTTAATGTGCAAATAGAAAATTAAATAAAACACAAAAAAGTCAATGTATTAGCTAAATACTTAGCTCAGTAGCTAAGCGTGCCTCTTTTATGTTTAGACAAAGAATAGGAACACATCCCTTTGTTCTGACTTGGGAGCATTAACTATTCACTAGCCTAATAAAAAGCCTTAATGAGCCTTTTTTATTCTGGTACATATGTGGAGCAGTTTGTTAACACGTGACACCAGATAAAAACGATGTGTAGCAGAATCGACTGTAACTGACGTCCACTTTGTTGACACTTCTTTTGTCAAGTTACAGATATCATAGCTGTCAGGAATGTCTCAGACTCTGAATTACAGCTCGGAGGCTGATGTCAATGTTTTTTCCTACTTGGCTGCTCATAATTATGGTTCCCTGGACATGAAAGGAATGTGGCATTAGCTGTAAAGTTGATTGTTGTTCACTTATATTAGGACTTAAAATGTTTCGGCTTAAAGTGTTTTGGTCCTTGATAACACATTCACAGTCAGCCATTTGTGACTGTATTTCCTGTCCTTTTTCTTCTATTTAGTCAAAAAACATCCCAGCAGAAACCAATAGATAACGTCTGCTGGTGGTCACATGGCAAAAGAAACCAGGATTGTTAGACCAGGACACAAACAATGTCCAACCACCAAACCCCCTAAGTATCTTCATCAAACTAAGATCAACCCTAAATGTAATAAAACAAACATGTTACTATCTGATATCTTGATAAATACCTCAATCAAAAGACCAATGAGTGACCGAGATACAGGATAGTACACTTACCATTACTGGGAAGATGATGGCCAGGAAGGTGGACTTCAGGATCCAGAGGACGGCCAAACAGACGATCTGGACGATGGTGAAAAGATGGACGCGTCTCAGAGGAACGTGACGCAGGAAGGAGAAGTCCGGCTGGTGTTTGGCTGGCATCAGATACAGCTTCATACGCTCCCAGAACTGAAACACAAAGACGCAGAACGTGTCCTCAGGTGTTCTCAGTCAGAAGTTTAATTATTCAGAGCACTTGTTTAGAGCTGAAACCCTCAATACATTTATTAGTTGAGTTGATCGACAGACAGCTGTTTTCATAATAATCATTTAGTTAAGTACTTTTTCAGGTAAATTTGCCAATAATCTCTTCGTTACAGCCGTTTAAATCGCAATAAGATGTTTAAAAACTGGACATACTGTATGTATTGACCTCAAAAATCCAGCATCAGTAAGCCTCAATGTTAAATATACTGTAAAACTTCAATTAGAAGCGTAGTCCCAATTAGGCACCTGACCCTTTTACTGGCCTGGTGTGGCTGCATGTTTTGACAACACGCTCTCACTCCCCACCTTGTCACACATTGGCGCATGGTCAAGACCCATTGGCATCAGTTTGTAACACATTGGGGATCCCTAGCGTCATAGCTCAACGCAGTGGGGGAAGCCCTGTAGTGTCAGTTTTTGACAGTAAAGGTAGGTAGTAAGGAGTGGTTTGGGTGGATGGAGGGCCAGAACCCGGACTTTAAACCAGGAGTCCAGGGTTCTTGTCCCGTGTGAAACAAAGAGTCAGCATTAAATATTTTTATTTAAGTTAGTCTACGTGAGTTACGTAAAGTAAGTTACGCAAGTGACGTTAACTTACGTATTAACTGACGTACGTAGTTATTTTAACCCAAACCATGATCTTTTCCAAACCTTAACCAAATAGTTTTGCTAAACCTAACCAAACTGCAGTGTTTCACAACTTTAATAATGTGATGTTTCAAAATGAAACTCTAGCGTTTTATTTTGAAAGTGTAACCGGACTTTGCATATTAATTGTTTCTAACTTTACCGGACGTTGCATATTTGTTGTTGCTAAGCATTGCTAACTTGACACCGGAGCATTAAACGTCGAAAAATGACGTTTAATGTGTACCCAGGGCGTTAACCAAAGGGCCTCGACCAAGCGTCAATATGTGACGAGTCGGGAGTGAGAACACGTTGGTTTTGACAAATAAACGCAGGTCTCAATTAGAAGCCTGGTCTGGTTTTAATAGAAGTTCTTTATATATAAAACCTCTTAAAGTACCTGCTCTCTCTCTTCTCTCTGTCTGTCTCTCAGAGCTACAGCAGATGAAATTAATTGATAGTAGTCATGCTGGTTGGAATAAACAATTTGATAGTAGCTTATTTCTTTGTTGAGCAAGAGTTTTGTGGGAAAGGAATTAAAGGCCTGTCCCAAATGTAGTTAGTGATAGTATATAATTCAGTGACTGAAGCAAATAAAAGCCTGGGCTCTAATAAGACAACACGGATATATCATCTTTGATCTACCTGGATGCCACTCAGTGATGCCACACCCATGTAGAGGAACACTCCATACAGGACTGGCATGGGGATGTACTGAATTAAACAGAGCAGCAGTTAAAATACAACATTATAGGTGAAAAGCAAATCAAATGATGAAAAAAAAAGAAACATCACATTATCTTCCTTGTTCGTTGCTGGCGTCTGCTAACATACCTGGAGAACGGGAGCGAGGAAAATTGAGAGTCCAGTCATAACAAACACCAAAATGCCCGTCAGCCTCTGCTCCCTACCAACACAGAATTATATGGTGTTAAATTTATATGTGGTGGAAATTATTTACCCACACACACAGTCTCAGGATAGCACAGGTGTCATTTACACTGGGGACATGTCGCCTCCACTTTTTGAAATGGCTGATTTTGTCCCCACCACTTTTTTAAAAGTATAATTTATAAAAAAAAACGTTCTGAAATATAGCTTATAGTTAAATAACAAATGAAAATGCATTTAGAAAGGCTTGTAAATTAAGAAAACAATGAAATGCAATTAACATATAGAAGAAACAAATGTGCATTGTCCAAAAAAAGTAACTTATGCCAAAACAAACAAGTTACTGATTATAAAATAAACGGGCATGCACCAATCAGCAAATTTAACAACTTCTGGACACAGTTTCTTTTTGGCCACGTTTTTCGTTCTCTACCTGTGAACATGACAAAGAGGAGGACAGACTAAATCATGCCTACATACGTGTTGCCTCAGCAGGGATGATGTTAAATGAGAAAAGTTGATTTACAGAACAAACACATCTGAAAGCTACACAAAATGCCTGAAAGCTGCACTGCATTTGATTCTATTATATTTATATATTTTGAAACGTCACGTGCACCTGAATTTTGTGTTTCCTTTTCCAAAAATAAAAACATTTCCACCATAAATTGGTGCAGAAACTTTCACCAGAATGCAGGAAATTAAGTGTGTACAGATCAAAATGTCCTGGGGGAGCTCCCCCTTGACCCTCCGCTCATATATGCTGGCATTGAGGATATCTTTAAAACACTGTTTAAGGATCTTTGTCTCGTTCTCGTGAACCTAGAATCACGTATCGTGAGATTTCCAGAGCTAAGTTTCTCTTCACACCCCTAACCTGAGCCCCTATGTCCCCACCACTTTTCAACACAAAGTGACGCCCTTGCAGGATAGTCTCACCTGACTCCGAGGAACTGTGGCTGCTCTCCAGGAGCGCTGGACTCGCTCTCCATCTTCAGAGAGTCGATGTGAGCGATGGAGATGACAGTAGCTGCTACGTACCAGGGCAGACCCAGGAAGGAGCACACAGCCATCAGCACACCCACCCAGAACAGGTCCAAGTGGTAACCGCAACCTTTCTGCAGTTGGGTAGAAGGTCAAAAATCATTCAAGTCTAACCACGATTGTAGCGGTGAACAATTTCTGAAAATTGGACTAATATTTAATTTATCAAATTTTTGTACTAATATTAAAATTCTGATTATTTTTTGAAAAATTAAAACTCCAGTTCTGTATTTGGTAGTTGACATCAACAAAACTATAACATAGCCTTATCACAAATTTATCTTGTTTCTACATTAAGTAAGAATTAGAGTATTGCAGTTTGTGGAGAACCGCAGATCTCAAAGTGGGATCCGGGGGACCCCCAGGGGTCCTTGAGGGGGTTCCAGGGGGTCGCCGGCAAGAAGGGGAACAATTTATTTTTACTATTGACATAAGGTATGACTAGTTTAGATGTGGATTTCATACACTTTCTTTTCTAAAATATACAAAATTCTATCAGATGGGTGACAGTGGGACATAATCTTCAAATCAAATGGGGGACTGCTGTGTAATTTGTGACAGTTTAGAGGTCCTCAATGTAAACAAGTTTGAGGTGTAGAGGACCTCCTAGGGTGCTTTCATACCTACACCTGCATTTGAATCAAATACTGGAACATTCGTTTGGACAGGTCGAAAGCAAAATGCAGCAAGGTCCAGACCAAATTTAGGTTTCTTTATATTATATCTTTTTCTTCTGCGAGAAAAGTTAAATGTTAAGTAACTCTAAAAATGTTTGCACTTTTAAACAATTACATTAGTAATCCACTTAATATTACACACATAATATTAAAATTTAATTTACATTTAAAAGTGATGTTATATTTACTGATAACAGTTAGCAGGCCAGTTAAGATAATAAAGACAACTGACACATTTAAAATGGGTTTCCTGTAAAATAAGCTTGTTTGGGTTTATGTATTTTGAAGCTTTGTATTTCTTCTGAGAATGTCCTGTATTTTCAGACCTTAAGTTTGTTTTCCTTGCGGTTGACTATGACAGCGCTGATCTGCTGGTCCATGAAGATGAGTATGGTGACCAGGAGTGCAGGAACAGAGCTGGCCAGGTACCACCACCAGGGGTTCTTACCAAATGGCATCACCAACCAGCCACGATCAGGACGAGTTGGCTGATCACACATACACACACATAATGAAAAATATATATATAGTAAATATATGCCAAAGATAAAAAGGAGAGAAGGTGACTGCACACATCCATCTTAAAGAATCAAATGCTTTACATCTGCACTAATAAAACAAATTAAAAATCTCAATTATATAACTAGTTTAACAACTTTATATACAGCTAGCTAGTTTTAGCTACTTTATATACAGTTAACTAGTTTTAACTAATTAATATGCAGTTAACTAGTTTTAACTACTTTATATTACTATGGACATGTAAATGCAATAGACTGGGGGAGCTATTTCACTCATTGTATTTGAATAAAGTCCAATATAGAGCAGACTAAGTCTTTGAAAATGAAATGTCAAATGCTCTTCTCATTTTCATTGTTAGGAAATGGCATTTTAATTTTAATTTTGAAATTAAAAGACCATGAGGACATGGACATGTAAATGCAAAAGACTGGGGGAAGTGTTTTGCTAACTGCATTTGAATAATGTCCACTTGAGAGCAGGTTAAGAAAATTGAATGTCAAATGCTGTATTTTCATTTTAATATGGTCCTAGGATGCTCACAAAAGTATGTGATAATGAAAATGAAAATTGGATGATTGCATTTTCATTTTTACCTAAATAACATGTACATATGTGGAAAATGATAATGTTATTGTGGGATTACATTTTCATTTTTAAGTTTGCGGGATAATTTGAAATTAGTCCTCTATACGCTTCCATAAGTTAGTTAGCTAGTTTAACTTTAAATATAGTTAGCTAGTTTTAACTACTTTATATACAGTTAGCTAGTTTAACTACTTTATATACACTTAACTAGTTTTAACTACTTTATATACAGTTAACTGGTTTAACTTTAAATATAGTTAGCTAGTTTAAACTACTTTATATACAGTTAGCTAGTTTAAACTACTTTTTATACCGTTAACTATTGTTAACTACTTTATATACAGTTAACTAGTTTTAACTACTTTATATACAGTTAACTGGTTTAACTTTAAATATAGTTAGCTAGTTTTAACTACTTTATATACAGTTAGCTAGTTTAAACTACTTTTTATACCGTTAACTATTGTTAACTACTTTATATACAGTTAGCTAGTTTTAACTACTTTATATACAGTTAGCTAGTTTAAACTACTTTTTATACCGTTAACTATTGTTAACTACTTTATATACAGTTAGCTAGTTTTAACTACTTTATATACAGTTAGCTAGTTTAAACTACTTTTTATACCGTTAACTATTGTTAACTACTTTATATACAGTTAGCTAGTTTTAACTACTTTATATACAGTTAGCTAGTTTAAACTACTTTTTATACCGTTAACTATTGTTAACTACTTTATATACAGTTAGCTAGTTTTAACTACTTTATATACAGTTAGCTAGTTTAACTACTTTATATACAGTTAACTAGTTTTAACTACTTTATATACAGTTAACTGGTTTAACTTTAAATATAGTTAGCTAGTTTTAACTACTTTATATACAGTTAGCTAGTTTAACTACTTTATATACAGTTAACTGGTTTAACTTTAAATATAGTTAGCTAGTTTTAACTACTTTATATACAGTTAGCTAGTTTAAACTACTTTTTATACCGTTAACTATTGTTAACTTCTTTATATACAGTTAGCTAGTTTTAACTACTTTATATATAGTTAGCTAGTTTAAACTACTTTTTATACCGTTAACTATTGTTAACTACTTTATATACAGTTAACTAGTTTTAACTACTGTATACATTTAGCTAGTTTTAATTACTTTATACAGATAGCTAGTTTTAACTATTTATTTTTACCGTTAGCTATTAGTTATTGTAAAATCTTAATCTTAAAAGTAAATTGGAACCATAGCTGTCAAAGTAGTAGTAGTATGAGTAGAAATAGAATGTAAAGAAAGTACACTAAGGTACAAGAACCTCAAAGTTATAAGTACAGTGCCTGAGTAAAAGCACTTAAGTACTTTCCACAAGAAAAACACACACACATGCAGTAGGGCAGTAATATGTTGTAATCACACACACATTAAAACAGAAAAATCTAATTACCTTAAACTCAGTAGGAACGATTAGTTTGGGTGTGTCTAACCCCATCAACATATCCAGACCCACAAAGGACATGATTGACATGAAGATGGCAAAATCACTGATTAGCTTCCTCAGCTACCAACACACACACCAAGAGAAAGGGAGGACAAACAGTGAGGAGGGGAGACATATGTATGTACAAGAAAATAGTGGAAATGAAGACAGGACAAAAAAAAAGAGAAGATATACTCTGTAAAATCATTACATTGACAAATCCACACTAAATCAATGACTGATTAGAAATGTATAAAAACTACATCATTGGGAGGGAAAAAAAGATGAAAGATGAAGGCGGCATTTTAGGGAAAAGTGGACCTTGATCTCAGTGGGCACAAGCAGTTTGGGGGTATCGAGCTCCAGCAGGCAATCCAGTCCACAGAAGATCAGGATAGAAATGATGATGGCAAAATCACTTATCAGGCTACGGAGCTGGAGCACATTCAGGGAGAGCAGAGGAGAAGACAACATGGTAGAGGACATTCTGGTACAGATACAGAGGTTTAAGCTTTGGATAAGGAGAAGGAGAAGTTTCCTGCAGATATTCAGAAGCTTTAAAGGATGAAGCTGGAGATATTCTTCTTTTTATCGGCAACAAAACCCGTGGTAGTTTTTAGCAACAATACGCTTTGTTGGATTGTGTATGTTGGATTTAGTATTAATTAGCAAATATAAGTATATACTCTAAAATGGTGCACTTATTGAACGTTTAAGCAGAATGTTAACTTTGTCATTGTAAGCATGTTAGCATGGTGGCATTAGCATTTAGCTCAAAGAAGTGTATTTTTGTAATCTGAGTTAATGAGGTCATTTACACGACAAAGTGATAAAGCTTCCCTTGGTGTTAACCACACAGTTCACAGAGTAAAATACCATGCTATAAATTTGTAGGTAATGCTATTTTACTGATGAGCAAATTAAGTTTTCTGCAATGTTACTATACAATACTAATATATATATATATCTAGATATATCTAGATATATCTAGATATATATTTTAGAAAGCTGATCAATATTTGATCGCAAACAGCTGGTTTGGTCTTCAATTAAATAAGATAAAAATTAAATAATATTGCCAGCCTTCTCCTTTATATTGGAATGCCTTCATGCACACATTACAAGAGTCTAGCATTTCACATGCAGGTTTACTTTTCTGTAGGGTAAAGCCATTGTGGAAAAACAACGTACTCAACGTAATAAGTCTTTGAATCTTATCTACTGTCTTACCTTTGTTGGAAAGTAGCGGCTAAACTTGAACTTCTTGAGAGAAACAGTCATGGAGTAGGTGCCAAAGAAGAGGATGAAGGACATCAGGGCCAGGTCAGGAACATACTTACAGGAGTTCCCCATCAGCATACCACCGTACTTCACACACTCTTTCTTACTGAGCTGACTCCAGTCCAGGTCTGTCAAGTTAAACTGCAAAGATAGGATGGAAGGGGGGAAGAGGAAAGTGGGAGAAGATGGGCGACAGGGTGGGATGGAGGGGTTCAAGACGGGGTGGGGAAGGTGGGAAGCAGGTCCGAGAAGGGAATATCGAAAGACGGGTGGAGAAGAAGCAGACACGAAAAAGAGAAAAGACAAGCGATAACAGAAGAAAAGACAATACAGAACATGGGGACTTCCAGACCCGTATTTGTCAAACATCTCAGAGTCAATCCTAGTAATCGCACTAAAAGTTGAAGCAGAACTTCCTACACTGACTTTCAGCGTGATGTCACCAACCTTCAGTGCCACAGAATAGAAATTTAGACCAATTATTGTGGTTTTCCTTTTTTTTTGTATTGGCACTTGTGATTTTAGCGTCTGGTTTTTGAAGGTAACTTTAGGCCTGTACAGTGTTTTAATTAAGACCAAATGTGGACCCTTCAACATTTTTGCGTGTGGTAACGACCTTTTGGTTGCAAACAAGGATCAATTTAACAAACGGGAGAGTCTTCTTCTGCAGCATGCGGTCTCCTCACCAAGTCATTTCTAAAAATTATTCAGTTTTTTGCCAAAACTATCTTTTAATAAGCTCTTTGTCATCCAATGTTGCCAGAACATCTGTCCTCACACCATCTCCTGGCAGCTATGAACAAGGAGCTCCACTAACTATCAGCAGAGACAGGTGATAAAATACTTTTACTCCTACTTCTAAAAGTATGACAAATACTCACTCACTCAGAGGTCTAATTTCCTACCCTGAGATGCTTAATAAATATGGGCCAGGTTTCTGTCAAACTACCGCTTCAGTTCATTACAGTATAAAACATTTACAATACAAACCCCCAAACAATTAGAGATGCAACTTAAGTGCAATTTTGGCAGTTCACTTCACAAAGAAGGATAGAAAGGATTCATGTGAGGGATGTTTTCTGTCTTTGGCACTTACCAACAGTGTCATATTATCATCTGCGAGTGGAGCTGAAACATTCAAGCCCAGCACAGATGCTAAAGCGCAAAAACACAAGAGGGAGAAGACGGAAACCCAATGAGTCATGGGTAACATGAAAATCCAGTGGAGTGTTTGCTATGAATGAACCAGAATCAAAAAGAATGACTGATGTGAATGAGCCGTAATATGTCACAGCATGTATGTTGATGAACCATGTTGGGTTTTAAAGGAATATTTTTATTAATTGTTTTTTGTATCAAACACTGACTCTCTGCACGCTGGCTCTGTAGCTGCTCCATTGTGCACGTTTGGATTGAAAGCTTTTTTACTTTTGTCTGGCCTCTTCTCTCTGGTTTGAAGACTCAATTGGAAAATAGTTTGCGCAAATTAAAATCTGATGACACCTTCGAGCAAATCTGATCAAACCACACAGTCCTGATGAAGCAGGTTTTTCAGTGTTAAAGGCCGTCCACATTAACAAGAATAACTATAAAATTCGAGAACGTTCTGTAATGTGTGGCCCCATGCACACACTGCGCGCTCCGCCTGCGTAGGAAAATGGATTTGATGACATGTTACAGCTGTGCATTGCGCAGAGAAACAAAAAGAAAACCAGAAGTATATCGGTTTGTGAAATTCTTCAAAGACAAGAAGAGGTAGGAGACTCTGTTACGAGAGATGTCGACACATTTTATTCATACTTTTGTATGGCATTCTGGTAATCTTCAAAGAGGACATCAGTAACGACCCTACGAGACCCCAACGCCAAAGACTGTGGGGGGTATGTCTAAGGTAAAATTATTTTGATTTGCTGTCAGTGTTTCTATTGTTAATTTACATGTACATTTGAGTTAGAACAATTTTAAATATTATTTATTTATAGTTATTGTTATCGCTCTTAGTGTGGTCTGTCTTTTAACCTGTTAATAAACAGTCACTAAGGATGCTGACCTTTAAATTTAACTGTTGCTTAGTTAGGATATTTAACGTTCTAAAGGAATACTTAAGATCATTGAAACCTTTTTGACATTTTCAGTTCCCTACAGATTTTCAGACAGGCAGTGAGTGTTTGCTAAAAGCACATCTTTGGTGGAGTATTCTTCTAATTAAGTCACTTAAACATTGTTCAAACATGCTCTACCAGAGTTGAAATGTGCGTACTCACTTCATCAGACAGCATCCCAAAAATGAGGCAGAAACAGACAAGATACACAAATCATCACAGAGTAAAGAACAAACATTTTTGCATCTAATCAAACTGACAAATCCTGTAGCTGTTCATGTCAAATTACGTCACGTCATTAATAGAACAGGTTGACATTTTGTGAGACACTTATTCGAAATGAGAAAATTAAAACCAATCCTGGAGTCACAAATTGGTTAGCCTAGCTTAGCCTACAGATTGGAAGCAGGGTTCAAAATTCAAAAATACACAAAACATTTATTCTTAGGATCAAAGCACCTCTTAAGCTCACTAATTAACAAGAATATTATTTAAATGTTTCCATAAACAGGAATATAAAACTAAAATTTGTGGTTTTCGGGGGTTTTGTAGCTGTTTTGTAGCTAGAACTTCACAGCAGAACAAACTGGCTGTTGTTCGCCAATCATGTAACATCACTATAAACCACAAACTGTCATTTTTAAGTTTCAGGTGGGGTACGACTCAAACAAACGAGAAACCATGTTTTAATTAGTGAGCTTTAGAGGTGTACTTCTGTACTTTACAAAGCCAGGCTAGCAGTCTTTATGCTAAGCTAGGCTAATCACGTCCTGACTCCAGCTCCTTAGTGCACAGACTTGAGGTTGATATCCATCTTCTCATCTCACTCTCACACAAAGCAAATTTTCCAAACTTTTTAACTATTCCTAGTAGTATGGTGGGAAATGTCTCTAACAAGCTCCATCTCTAAATAAAGTTATTCCAGAACATGTAAAACAACAAAACAAGAGTTTGACGGCTCACCCTGGTCTGGTGCGATGCATTCGCACTTATAGGCAGTGATGTAGTCAGGTTTGAAGCCACGGTTGATTGGGTAATACTTCCAAGCTCCAACCTGTGAAATACAGCCAGTTTTATCTTGTGTTAAGTGTTGTGCAGTTAATTTGTAGATCTTGAGCTTGTGTCTGTGTGAAAGTGTTCGTCCGTTCCACGTGACAACATGTTATCTACCATCTTCTTAATGGCGTCAGAGATGAATATGAAGGAGATGAGGCTGGAGAAACCCTCCTCTGTGAAGCGGGTCATGTACTTGATAATGTAGCTGGCGTCTGAGAGCACCAGCAGCAAACACTGCAGACAAGAGTGAAGGCCAATCCACAGACGCAGCTCCATGTAGTCTATATCATTGCTCCTGTGAAGAGAGACAAGTGCTTACATCACCTATCTGGTTATTTGTGCAGTTCACATTTGGGTGCTTTCTCTTGTGCGCGTCTTACTTGCTGAATTCATAAAGCAGTTTCTCAAAGATGAGAATGGGTCCAGTTGAACTGAGGATGATGAGAGGTTGCCCACCAAACAGACAAAAGACTGTCCCTGCTAAAGCAGTGCCAAGGAAACTCTCCATCACGCCCTTTGGAAAAGATCAGGAACAGACAGAGACGTGAGGTCAACTGTGTACATATTCTAGGTTTGTGCATTATGTAGTTAGGGGTGTCACGATTCTCCAAATCAACGATTGGAGTTTTGATTTAAACATTTTCTTCAGCATCTCCCAGAGCAAATAAAATAGTGTGGTTTCCAGGTTTTAGCATCGTTAGACTATCCAGTCTTGATTGGCAAAGATCAACATATCACTTGTTTTATGCCCTGACAATGGTCTTCTTTGAAAAGAAAGTGTGATACAATCATATAGCCCTACTTTTTGTGTGTACCACGAAAAGGCCATATGGTCAAATATAAATAATTAATTTAAAAAGTAATAACAATAACTTATTTCACCAGTCGAAAAACTGTTAAACATAAAAACAATAAGAAGAGTCACCAGAGGGCAGAAGGGTTCTTTACAACCACACGTACAAAGCCACCAGCTCCGTTTTAGGAAGCATGGCCTTGTGGGTTATCTGAACTGTAGTATGTGATGGAGCGGGCTTGTTTAGTGTCATGATGTCTTCTGTTCTTCCCTCAGGTGGATCACGTCTGGTCTGACTGACGGAAGAGCCAATAAAGTGGGGGTGAGATCCTTGTTTCGGACTCTTCTACGCCTTTCTGCTGCGGCCGCAGCAGTTTGTTTGTGATCTGTGTTTTTGTAGATTCTTGTTATTTGACTGTTCTGATGACTCTGGAAGTCTTGTTTTCGTGGCTTAATGTCTGTTTGGTTAGGTTTAGGTTTAGGGGTGGGGGAGACTCCAGACCCTATGGCCCTTTGTGGGCTGGTCTGGAGGGCTTCCCTTTCTTTTGCAGCCCATCAGACTTTGTTTTGAGTATTTGGGGTTGATTTGGCTTGGATTTTTAATCCAATTTTTTTTCATAGTTTGTTTAATAAACTTAATATTTTATTTGCAACACCTTGACTCTTTGATTATTTTAGCCTTGCTGAGGGATGTAACAGAAGTGGTTTCTCCCAATGCCATCATGTTTTCCACAGTCACAGAAAAATGCATACAGAAGAGAAAAAAAGTCTTTGTTCATGCAACGTTACTACTGCGTCCTCCTGTGTTCTTATCCTGCAGATACATTTTCGACTCCGGCACAAGTTGCCGATAAGCTACGCAGCCTCGTCTTTGAAATTTGTTTTTTCCTTCGGATACACACAAGTATGCAGGAGAGAAGGTCGAAATCGAAAGCTCATTTTCAAATTCGTGACACCCCTAGTTGTAGTCTTTATGAAGACCTGGTAATTGTCGGTAGCGTCCCCTAGCAGTCCGCCAAAGGTGATGGCATTGGTGATGCAGCCCAGGTAGATGAAGACCACAGCAGAGAGAGACTGGATATGGAAGCCATCGTAGATATCACTACAATACCAAGGGATCTTCCGTTTGATGTCCAGCCACAATCCACCTCCAAACCTGTTAAAACAAAGATGAGCACATTGTTAAGATGACAGAACCAGGATGCAACTGCAACGCAGATCTCCGGTCCTCTCATACCTCCCAGTGAATTTCAGCTCCTCTCCAAGCTCATGTGGCGCTGGAAGCTCATCGTCTTCTCCTCCAGCCGCCCCGCCGGCCGAGCCGTTCATTTGACCCAGCTCGTTCAGGTTCAGCACTGACTTTCTGTGGCACACATGGAGACAGAACAAGCCGTCAGGGGTTGGACAGGACTTACTTGAGGTACTTGTCAAGAAGTAGTCTGGAGACGTGTGGACATGAATGGGAAGACAATGTAATGATGTGAAAGCTCAGAATCATGAACCTACAGAGAATTATCAGTTGAATCTGCAGTTCCTCTTGACTTTCTGGAGCTTTATAAGTGCCTTTCAGCTCACTGTTAAACTGTTCTCTCAGCGTTCTCTAGTCAAGACCACCCAAACAAAGAACAATTCCAGACAAGCCAGGATGTATCAAGACCAAGACAAGACCAAGAATTTGAGGGGTTGAGACCAAGTTAACACCAAGACCAAATGAGGACGAGACCCTGGTCAAGACCATTACCTGTGTACGACATACGATAAAATGTGAAACATGATCACAGGCGTTTCTCAAATTGATCTGAAATATCCATATTCCCATAAAAACACCCACATACAAACACTAAGAGCTGAAATCAACTTAACCATCTTTATTCAACACTCTTTTTCCATGTTTTCCATCCACCCAACACGATGCAGTTTTTTTGTGCAAGCAGACTCTTGTCTTCCATATTTGATCCTCATATTTGATCTGCAACTGTCTTTTCAAACGGAAAATGAGTATTGTGCCACGTGCTTATGGACATAGAGAGCACCCTATTTAATTTCCATCCATAGCGACTTACAATTGCTATATATGTCAGAGGTCGCACGCCTCTGGAGCAACTAGGGGTTAAGTGTCTTGCTTAAGTGGATTTGAACCCGGCTCTCTCACACCAAAGGCATGTGTTTTATCCACTGAACCATCACCACCCATTAAAACAATGGGAGGAGAGGAGAAAAGAAAAAGCAAGGGACTGAAACTGTAAAATCATTTTCGTACTTTTTGGGGGAGCTGTTCAAACAGCTTAGCTCAGGGAAACAACAGAAGTTTAAAAGTCTCTGTAACTGCTTGTTTCCACTGCAAACAAGTGGCGAACAAATTCAGTTATTACATGTTTAAATGTGATTAAGTACATGCCTCATTTCTGCTGATGGAACCTTCTTGGGAGGTTCGATACGTATCTTTGGGTCCCATTCCCCTGGTGGGAGGACAATCACCTCATCCAGAAACTCATCGACACCTGCGATCAGGTCTTCACGGTCCCTTGCTTTATAGGCAACATCACTGAACAGCTGACAGGAAGGCATAGAAATACAAATCAAAGTAATCCATTGAATGCGTTAATGAGTGTGGCCTATCGGTGTGGGACAGTGGCAGTCACTTACATCATCCACCATGAGCGTAGCGATAGCTCTGCCAATCTCATTGTAGGACTTGCTTTTGCCCGGAGGACCCAGCAAGATGAAGAGAAACCTGTCAGAACAGAAGGTCCAGAGGCTTATTAATGCAAGAACCCCCACACTCCAGAGAGAGATTCACAGGGAGACATGAGAGACACCCCCACCTTGTCGGCACAGGGACCTCGGTGAGGCCTCCCAGAGTCGTGGCCTGAGCCAAACGTACAAAAGAGACGAAGGGTTTGTCCAGAAAATCCACCTCACCGATCAGGACATTGGAGGCTTCGGCATCACGAGGAATCTTTTTCATGAACTTGTTCTTCAGCTGGCGGACGAGAGGGGAAACAGAAGGAGGCAGCAGGTGAGTATAAAATCACATGTTGCACAGCAGCGGACATTTCCTAGCTGCTTATGTGTGCCATGATCAACTGGCGTTTACTTTGTACCGTTGGATAATCAGATCGTGTCTGCTGGTGACATCAAGTGGTGTTTAGTTGCAGCGGTTGGCTGAAAATGATATACAGGATTTTAGACAAAAGCTACAACATAGCGCCTCTTTAAGGTGCACAGAATTTCTTTCTCCCATTACGTCTGCTCTTCACTTAAACCTTTTAAGGATGGTTAGTATTTTGGTCCACCACTTCCAGAGTGAAATGTCTTGACAAATACTTGATAGATTGATCATGAAATCAGGTACAAATATTCAAGGTCCCCAGAGGATGAATCCTGACTTTTCATCTAGATCCACTTGCATTTAACCTTTTCATTTATCCAGTGAAATATCTCAAAATCTGCTAAATGGACTGGCACAACATTTGGTACCAACATTCATGGTTCCCGGAGGATGAATCCAGTTTACTTTGGTGAGGAACATGTTGTTGATTCAGTAGTTATTGGATGGATTGCCATGTTCATGTTCCCACAGCATGGCCTAGTCTTTTTACTGCATATATCATACTGTATCTCCTACTTTTGCTCATGGTGCTAAAGTTAAAGCCTCAGTCAGACAAACAGCAGGTGACGATATGGTCCGGCGATGCTCAGTAGTTTAACACAATGCATCGTCATCCGGCAAGTTGATCCATTGGCCAATCAAATAGTGCAAGAGCACATTCCTGGTGGATTATTTGTAACGCTATATTTTTTGCAATTTAAATTATTAAATGCTTGCTGCTGTAATATTTTTCAAGAAAAATAATAAGTAAAACCCTTCGTTGTAATATATAATATTGTGCAGTGTTTTTACATCTGATTTGCCTTCAAATTCGTGGCTCTGTTACTAAAACTGGACTTCCTGGATCGTATTTCTTTGTCTCACCGGTACCTGAAACAACATAGCCTTCCAAAGCAGCTCCTTGTGTTCTTTTAATACAGTCATGTTTTTAGTCTGAAAGCTCATTAAGTCGCCATTTCTCTGCTCATTCTTGTTGTGGTGGAAAGTACTGTCCTGTCCCATTTTGAGGTACTTGTACTTTCAATTTTCTATTTTATACTTCTAGTCTTCTTCTAATAACTATAATTTCAGAATCAGAATCAGAAGGAGCTTTATTGCCAAGTACTGTTTTACACATATGAGGAATTTGCTTTGATGATAAGGTGCTACACGTAGACAAACATACAGTTGACATAAATAAATGTAGGAATATATAAAAATGGAATAAACAAATGCAAGTTATATAAGCATAATAGAAGAATAAGACAACTATTTGCTTAACTTAATATTTACTTTACAGATTCAGATTAATAAAACAACATATAATAAAATACATTATAATTTAATGTTAAAGATTAAGATAAAACTTTATTGACCCCTACGGGGGAAATTAACAAGCTACCAGCAGATGAAGTACACATATAGTAGTAGTGAGTTCCACATTTACCAGTTTCAACCTTAAAGTAATGAGTAAATAAGTTATCAAGTAATAATTAATTTGAGCCAAAATAAATCCATGATATTCGGCAATTGTAAAACAATCAATCAAGCTTAGATGCAGTTAGAAGGTGTCAACATAATAAGAGTATACTAAAATAAATCCCTTGGAGTGATTATAGACGACAAGATCTGTGGGAATCCCACACATAACACTATCACTCCACATTTTGTTTTGCTCACTGGTGTTACAGTATTTAAATTACTGTGCAGAGGTTTGGGGGCCAGAAACAATCTGTATAGAGAAAAGGGTCTCTGAAAATGTTTTTGTTTGTTTCTCTTTTAAACGTTCAAAATAAAGAAATCAATCAATCAATCAATAATTGTAATCCAGTAATATAACATACTGTACTGTATGTCTGAAATGGGCCATTTAGCTGATCATACTTGCAGATCTTGTAGCGAAGTCTTTTTACAGTGTGGTATTACTTTTAATTAGCTGACGCTTTTATCCAAAGTGACTTACAAATGATCAGAGGTCGCACACCTCTTGAGCCACTACGAGTTAAGTGTCTCACTCAGGGACACACTGGTGATGTGTGGCAGTGGGAATCGTACCCCGGTCTTATCCACTGCTCCACCGCCACCCCGTTAGTATTTTAAAGGATAAAGGCCCTGGAACCTTCCTCCACCTCTGCAGAGCTGTTGGCTGGCTTTGTTTCCCACAGTATCAGGGGCACAAACACATCCAATTGAAATTTTGGAATTACATACAGTATAAAATCCCACAACACTGTGTTGTAACTCTCCTCCTCCTCCTCCTCCTCACTAAGGAAGCACGTGGCAGTGGAGTGGTGGGTGCTTAAATTAAAATCTCTTCATAATCTGTTAATGCCGCTTTCAGAGTCAATTCACCAACCGGTCCTCTTTCACTCTCTTGGTCCTACGCAACCGTAAACAAGACATTTCAATCTCTCTTAACATCAACTAATTTAAGAGTACTCACTCGCTCTAAGTTTTAGTTTCCACCTGCAGCTATACTGTCGTAAGTGTAGTAGTTTTATACTCTGGCAGTAGGCATTACATGTTATGATGAGTGTGTGTGAGTGCGCATATGGGTCAGAACCGTCGGATCAAAGAAAGCTGGAGGTGCCATGCCAGCTTCTGTGAACAAATGATTAAAGCAGACTCAGGGGTCACATGCACGACGTCTTTTCCTGCTCCCTTTGAAGTTCTTGTAAAGATATTTATCCGATTTACAAACACAAACACACACAAATTACTGCTGCTGGTTAACAATTAATACAGTATACAGCAAAACAGAACCTCACATACAAATCACAAGAAAAAGCAAGTGACTGAAACCGTAACTTCATTGTCGTACTTTTTTGGTGGGAGCGGTTCAAACAATTAAGCTCGGGGAAACAACAGAAGCTTAAAATTCTGCACACAAATGCACAATCATAAGTACAAATACCCATGCAGGTACATGCACAAACACAAAGTCGCAGCTCAGCTAGCAGACTGTGTGGATTAGAGGGGTTTAGTAGTTCTGACGACTCTGTACACCTTCTCATAAAACAAGGCTCAACTTTCACAAAACACAAACACAACCTGAGAAATGGAGAGGGAATGTGTCACATATGCCATCTGTTAACTGTGAGCAGAACTGATATAATCCAGCGTTATTTTCCCACAGGCAACAGGAGAATAGCTGATTACAAATCAACAACAGCTCAGACAGTGACTGTGTTTCTACAGTACGTGCAGGCACTGACTGTGTACAAGCCGTAGATATTTTATTTTACACATCAGTTTACTCGTCATAACGCGTACTTCTTGTATGTATGGAGCAGCTTTGTCAAGTCTGAGAAAAATAACCCTGATGATGTCATAGTGATGTTATCAGGTTGGTTGATGATACAAACTGGGGATGTGGAGTCTGAGAGATGTGGGGCATTTACCTGGCAGGTCGGGTTTAATGAAGAGATGCTGTTAACTTGCCTGGGAAATGTAGGACCCAGTGTTTTTGGAGCTTAACCCAAACTAGTTTATTAAAAAGTGTAATACAACACTTAAAATATGTTGATTTCTTTCTGTTTTCTGTTGAAATTCTTTTAAAAAACAGTACTTTCTTTGACAACATCATAGGTATTAAAAATTAAGAAATGAAAACTTCAAACTGGACGGTTTCGGTTTCCAAACATGAGCAACTACTCCACAGCTGTTGCTAAATCCTGATTGGTGAATGGAAGTTTGTGTCAAAAACTGAAATCTCTCATATGAAATAAACAAAACCTTTCTAACTTTGGCAGGAACTGCTATATTGAGGGCCCCACCACCCGCAGTTTGAGGGCCTCTAAAGGGCAGTTCACAACTATTTGCAAAACTACATACCACTAGGGATTAAGTAGAAAAATATGTCTACAGTATGAGATGTGGGCGAACTGACCCTTTATCTGTAAAGGCAACATATTTCCATGACAAAATAGTGGTGTTGCTTTTGTATAATATGTATACATAAGTTGTATAAGTGTTTCTACAAATTAACTTAATTTCTCATGAACCATAAACTGATTTCATCATTTGACATAATGAATGCTTTAAAGGTGCATTTTATTCTTACTGTGAATAAATCGCATAAAAAACAAAACAAAACCAGCAGTGAACGTATCTCCTAACAAGTCCTGTGTGTGATATCTCTCTTCCTCTGAGCCGTAGAGCTCCATTGTTGTCCAGAAACTATTAAAACCCATCAGTGAGCCTCACTGCTGCACTGGGTCACATGTTTGTACATCACCATGAACACAAACACTGTAGTTTATTCTCACTGAGTCCTACATGCACCGTCCTGCTGTCACAAATACTCACTAGAGCGCCACATGTGGATTCATCCGCCGCTGAAAATAGTCCCCAACAAATGCACTAAATGGTAGAAGGATGCTTTTATCCAAAGCGCTACAATTAGCCTCTCATTCACCAGCAAGCGACCATGTAAGAGGAATGACCTCGCCCAAGGACACATGAACTGCCAACACAGTGATTAGTGGATGACCTGCTCTAGTTCTTGGGTCGCAGCCGCCTACTACTTTATCCGATTTGAGTAATTTTTGATAGAAACTACAGTGAACAGCTGTTTGAGGAAATTACTGAGCCTTTTTAAACATGAAACTTTATATTTGTGAGTTTGTTTGTTTTTTAAAAAAGATTTACGTTTTCAAGTAGGAACCAAAGGGCTTGGAGCTGAGAGACACAGTTGTTGAAAATAAGAATATAAAATATAAATGTAGAATATTTCCAGCCTTAGTGCACACAAATCCACAGTTACAAACACACATGAAGCATGAACATAAAAGTTACCTGGTCTGTGCTCGGTGTGTCTGAAATGTCATTCATGCTTCGGCTCTGGGCAGCATCTGTAAATGAACCACTCACTTTAATATTTAAAACACACAGTGTGACATGTTATGTTGTATAAAAAGAAAGAAACAGGGGTTTCTATGCGTTTTGAGTTGTGTCTCAGTGGACTTTTATTCAGCTGAGATGCAACAGAGAGAGCAGTCCACAGTGTGTGCTAGAACGTCACCATGACCACTTGTTTCTGTGGAGGATTATATTTTAATGACTCATTTTAACTCAAAGCATATTTGGGAACAAATACCACAAATACAAATCGAACAAAAAGAGAACAAGAACATAGCACAGAGAGAGAAAATAAATCCTTTCATAATCCTCTTCACCCAGATAGATTCACAACATGAATTAGCAAAGGCGCACACAATAGGACCAAAATCTCTAAAGTAAACACATATTATGTATTCGTGACAAGTCTATACACACATCATGCAGTGAGGGGGGTTAGCTGGGATCAGTGTTGAAAAAAAATATAGAAATACCCGAGAAGTTTAGAAAGAGAGAGTTTTGTCTTAGAGAAATTTGTTAAATAGCTGCAAATATTGAGTGTGTATCTTGGTGGAAGAAGTAGTGGAGAGCCGGGGCGATTGAAACGCGGGACCAATGAAACACAGCGATTTTCTCTAAGCCCATACAAGTCTGATACGCCAAACTACCTCAGCACATACAGTCCACAGTAACAGAACCGAGAAAAATCAGGTGGATACGTCACACTTTCCTGTCAATCACGGAAACTAAATTCACTCAAGCGATCTTTTTTTTGAATGATGAGTTGTGTTTATTGTTCCATGTGCCATGGTCATGATCACATAAAAGATTAGTTAGTACTTTAACACATGAAGTTTTAAATGTCAAAGTTTTACAGTTTAGAAGCTAGTGAAGTTTTAACGCCAAGAGTCACTGTTGGGACGATTTAAAGAGGTGTTTCAATCGTCCCAACAGCCATTCTACCTTATTTAAATACGACGGGAGGGGGTCAGAGTCCACTAGGCTGCAGGCTGGACCACCAGGATGCTCACCAGCCAAATAACAGGGTCTTCACAGTAGACCAGGAAAACAGGCTGCCAATATCTAATCCAAATGTGCATTAGCTGTTAGATTTTCTAGTTAGCTAGCTAAGTTATATTTACTTTTCATATTTCTATTTTTATTAAAAAAAGGACATAATGAGTTTTCAATTACGTATTAAGAAGGGCAGTGTCAAGCTTTCTAAATACAAGAATAACAAACTATTTTATGTATATCGTTGTGTTTCTTCAGTCCCACCCCTGTGTTTCATCCGTCCCGCACAGTAGGGACAAATGAAACAATGCGCACCTTTCCTTCAAAGTGAAATTATACTGAAGTCGTTCCACATTTTAACAAGATAACACCTGGGATTGATAGAACACACATGTGAGTTGTTGATGACAACAACAAATGATTTCTGTCTGTAACGTTATATTTTAAAATGACGTATATCTGAAAAGTGTAGTTGAACTACTTTATATACAGTTATCTAGTTTGATCTACTTTATATACTGTTATATAAGTTTATATAGTTACAGTTTGCTAGTTTGAACTACTTTATATACAGTCCGCTAGTTAACCTACTTTATATACAATTAGCTAGTTTAAATTACTTTATATAAGTTACAGTTAGCTAGTTTGAACGGCTTTCTATATGGTTAGCTAGTATGATTTACTTTATACTGTTATCTAGTTTGAACTAGTTCATTTGCTAGTTTGAACTAGTTCATATACAGTTAGCTAGTTTGAACTGCTTATATATGGTTAGCTAGATTGATTTACTTTATACTGTTAACTAGTTTATATACAGTTAGCTAGTTTTAACTACTTTATACAGTTTGCTATATTGACCTACTTTATATACAGTCCGCTTGTTAACCTACTTTATATACAATTAGCTAGTTTAAATTACTTTATATAAGTTACAGTTAGCTAGTTTGAACAACTTTATATACAGTTAGCTAGTTTGATCTACTTTATATACAGTTAGATAGTTTTAACTACTTTATATACAGTTAGCTAGTTTGATCTACTTTATATACAGTTAGCTAGTTTGAACTACTTTATATACAGATAGCTAGTTTGATCTACTTTATATACAGTTAGCTAGTTTGAACTACTTATATACAGATAGCTAGTTTGATGTACTTTATATTCTATTAACTAGTTTGAACTACTTTATATACGGTTAGCTAGATTCAATTCCTAGCTAGTTTAACTACTTTATATACTGTAAACTACTTTATACAGTTAGCTAGTTTACTTTATATACTGTAAACTACTTTATACAGTTAGCTAGTTGAAACTACTTTATATACAGTTAGCTAGTTTACTTTACTTTATATACTGTAAACTACTTTATACAGTTAGCTAGTTTACTTTATATACTGTAAACTATTTTATACAGTTAGGTAGTTGAAACTACTTTATACAGTTAGCTAGTTTGAACTACTTTATATACAGTTAGCTAGATTCAATTCGTAGCTAGTTTAACTACTTTATATACAGTTAGCTAGTTACTAAGTACTTTATATAGAGTTTTGGTCTGTTTTCATATTTGCTAGATAATTTTACCTCTTTGTGTGCTGAACAGTTATTTAAAGGAAACCACCTTAAATAAGGGTGGAACTGTGAAACGTGATAAGTCACGGGTCAATAATGTCAGGAACCAGTGTTTTAACCTTTAACAATGTATGGTAGGCTATTTCTAATCTTATTACATCTTTTGTTTATATAATATCTTAAACGTAACCAAACCCGTGGTGCATTCATGTGTGTGTGGTGTGTTTAGACTCACGCAGGTGGCTGAGGTTGCTTGACTGCCGAGAGCGTAGGTCTTCTGTGGAGCGGTGGATGCCAGAAGCTGAACTAGTACTATGATTAACCTGAGGACTACGGTCTGACAGAGCAGCAGCAGCAGATGTGAAAACGATGAGCACCGAAGAGGTGATTTTACAAGGTAAGGCGGTGATCAACGTGGCAGAAAACAAAGGCAGCATTAGTCATTAATTAGAAGGTTAGATCACTTTACTGTGATTGCTGATTGGTAGTTGAAAATGCATACAAGTGGCGCACAAACTTACTGGAAGCAGTGTTGGAGGACTTTCCTATATCTGCCAGCGAGCGGTGGATTGGTTTCTTGGTCTGGTGACGGTGTTTCCTGAGCAACACAAAGCTGATCTTCTCCTTCAGATCCGGAGGAATGAGACCATCAGCTATCTGCCGATCCACAATCTCATCTGGAGTCAAAGTTTACAGCCCAGTTGAAATAAAGGTAATTTTGCATGGACTAAACCACTTCTAAGGTAACTAAACATCATTTTTGCACATGTCAAGTTAATTCTCCCGCAGTGCAATTCAAAAAAGACAAGAGGCTCAGCTTGAGCTCCAAAACTGTAAAATGAATTGCAGATGGTTGTGATCCGGATACAGAAAGAACTTTGAACACAAATGTATAAAATCCAGTTTCTTAGCCTGTTTTCGCTTATTGTTTTGGTTTTGCGTCTTGCAAAATCTGCTTTTCCCAACAACATTTCCAACAGAAAAAGCTTTGATAAAGCCATGGTATATGACCTGCTCAGCAGCAAACAGGAGACAGACACAGGAAGAGTTTGTTAAATAAACCCTCTTTTTGAAACGCTACATGTGCCTACCACATGGACTATGAAAGGAATGGAACGTACTGCTGTCTGGACCATTGGACTTCAATCTAAGGGCCTTTACACCTGAAAGTCTGCACCAAGGTCTGCACCAAAGGTCATATTTTTGATAAAATAGTTTTGGTTTGGTTTCAAATTGCAATTCTGTGAGCATACTGAAGAACTTTACATGACATTGCGTCCTGTCTTCATCATCTATGTGGGCTGCATCTCCTTAACCTTGACATTGATTGGTTTGTAAACGGACGTGAGTTGGACATCATCATGTTGCCAATTCAGCGGCTAGCTTTGACAATACTCTTTGGCCTTGACATGAATGAATGAACAGATGCATATCCATGCCACTATATTGTTATTATTATGGCATTACTAACTGCAGCACAAACTCAACTCGAGGCTGGTTCAAATTCGCCTAATGAACATCCTCGTGTGAACATCGTCGCTGGCAGGAAAAGAAATTTCTGCACCTCCGTTTGGGGATAGACCAAAGAGGTGTCAATTTTCTTCCATAGCGGCAGTTTCAAAAGATGAGCTGTCGCAGCAAATGTATAATTGTATCCTTATTTTAATGCATTTCTCTGTGCATAGAAAAATAATTCTTAATTTTCTATTGCTACGTCATCTTCTCTCAGTTATTTCCAGTTTACTCATTAACCACTGGAACTTCCTGTAAATTGTCTGAAAGTCCAAACCATCCAAAAAATGCTTTCACACTAGAAAAGAACCGAACGTTATAGTTCTGAAGTCTAGAAACAACAGGGGAGAAACTGCTGTTGGACTCACCCACGATCTGTGGCAGCGAGTAGCCCTCCAGGTCCAGCAGGATGCTTCCTGTCTGCAGACAGGTCCTGAGCTCAAACAGGCTGTGGAGGGTCAGTGTGGAGACATGAGGCTTGCTCCATCTTTCTCCTCCCTCCTCCACCTTCTCCTCAAACTTCACCCACCTACAGAGAGGGGAAAAGTGGGTTGGCTCTGGAATTCAGTAAATTAAGAGGTGTAATTTGAATGAATGATTGATTTGTCCAGCCAGCAGGATGCTGTTATGTGTTAAAGCCCCGTCACCCAGCACCCATGATGTCTCATATCTAACCCTCAACCTCTAAATCCATCAAAAGTGACCCAAATCCTAAAATAATGAAAGCTCTGACACTCTGACACCGGTATGTTTGTGTGTATTTCCGTGTGTGTACCTTGCAGACTCTTTCCACTCTAACTCGCCCCCCTCTTGCTGTAGTGTGTCCATCTCAGTGAATATTGTGGGTGTTGGGGTGGTGTCATCCTCCGCCAGTAAGTGGCGCAGCCGCTCTGCTGCAGGGGACACTGCATAAATGTAGGCCAAACAAGAGACAGAGTCAGATTTCCATTAAATTCACAGACAGAGGAAACTTACATAAAACAACCTGAAAAGCAGAAAGATAAAAGGCAAGTTTATTTGTGTAGCACATTTCAACAACAAGGCAATTAAAAGTGCTTTAAATAAAACAGAAAAGCAACATAGGGAAAAATAAAAAAAAGACATTTAAATAAAATTTCAAACAAAACGAGGCTTTTAAAATATAAAAACAGGTTAATTTACCCGGTATACCAATTTGTTAATGGTTTTGTAGAATCTTCATCTTTTCTAAAATCTCTTTATCGTACAATATTTATTTCCTCTGATTCACAATCTAGCTACAACAAGGCTGCTGTTCTGGGAGTTAGGGGCACATATTCTTACTCCCAACTCATCACATATGGACGCTTGGTCAAGAACCCTTGGTGTCGCTGTTTAGCGCCCTGGGTACCCTGTAGTGTGTTTTTTTTATACAGTCTATGGTTTTTGCACATGTATTACACAATAATAAAAATGCAATGTTAGGTTAGATATTTAAGATAAAACTAGTGGTCAACGTTGTGAAAGATCGCAATTTGGTTCGGTTTAGAAAAAGTTAATGGTTTGGGTTAAAATAACTACATTAGTTATGTAAGATCATTAAAAACAATCAATGTTGACTTTTTGTTTCACACAGGAAATGAACGCCAGTCTCCTGTGTGTCTATTCATCCACCCTAAACCACCTCCTTACTTGGACTTTTCTGTTATTTATAACCAGGCTTACTTTTAAGAAAAAGGGTAAAAGAGTGTGTGACCAAGCGTCCATATGTGAGAATAGGTTGGTCAGGAACATAATGTCAACAACACTCTGGTCTAGAGGGCAAAATAACCAACAAGTCTTTGCGGATCAACATCCCCCACATACTCGAGCACCACAACCAAACGAGTCCTTCTGCATGATGAGTCCTTCTGATGCCAATACATTTTTACTTAAGTTTTATTTAAATGCAGGACTTTCACGAATAAGTATTTTTTACTCAAGTACAAGATCTGAGTACTTTTTCCACAACTGCATGTAACAGATGTCCTTTGTCGGATTAAATCCCACGACATTACGTGGCTGAGACCACCGGGCCAACAAACTGGAGAGTTTTAGTCAGACAATAGAAACAGTGTGATCTAAAACACACTTCTTTAACGAGCGAACAAGAGAGTCAGCTCCTCTAATGACTATCTGATATCTGATCAGCTGGACCCTTTTTCTAATTTTACTCTGAGCAGATCGATCCCCATTAACGTCCGAGCCCGGAGGCGCTGTTCGCTCGCATCCCACCACTGATTGTGTGTGCGTCAGTCAGCACGAGAACGTGTGTCGCTGACTTTGTTTGTTCCTCCTTATGATCCAAAAGCTAATAAAAAGTGAAAAACCCATGAACTCAGAGAGCTGAATGGTTCCAGTTTAAACCACAAGTGTCACGAGTGATGTTCACAATCTCAATCAACAATTCCACATGCAGGGAACAATTAGGTAATCCATGTTAACTACAGCGTGGTGTATAATTATAATACAATACAATGTTCCACAATGAGCCCAACACAGTTTCCATTGCTGTCTCTACTGTCTGGCACATTGGGTCAGGTCATGTTGGTGTGTTTGTGGCTGTTTAAAAAATATTGCAAACATGTTTCAGGTTCTGAGATCAATGCTTTGGTTAATCAGAGATTCGGTGTGTGACAGCTGAGAGAGCTGCAGACTGGATAGAAAAATGAACCCTCATCTTTGCTGGATGTGGATTGACAACTGTTTGCTAAAGCATAGCTTATTGTTATGTAAATGGTGAGACGTCAGCTTGTTCCACTATCACCAAGGGGCTAAAAGAATCAATGAATGCTGCTTTAAATAACTGATTTATTAACAATGTGAGCTTTTAAACCATGAATCAAGAGACCTTAACCACATGGTCACTAGAGAGTGACACAGTTATTTTAAAATGGTCTCAAGGGAACCATAGCCATAAAAAATGTCCCGGCACAGAAGATCGGAAATATTTATTTATTCACAATAAGTAATAGGTAATAGACAGAAGAGGTTCATTACTTTTTGATAAACTGCATACATTGAAAATGAGTGATAGTTTAATTAAATCTAATTTGCATGTCAGTGGCCGTTCTTTTTTATCAACGACATCACTACAATGCATCATGCTCATTTCCAGGCTTTCTCCATTTTCACTTGTGCCATCTTTACCTGTTTGGGAGCCAGGTAGGGTCCAGCGGGAGGCCATAATCGTGGGGAAAGGCGCCCCGGGGTCCTGCATACTCACTGGATCCTCTGACAAGTTAGACCCAAAGGTATCTGGAGAGAGATCCTCCGGTCTGCTTTGGGCCAAGGAAAAAGGAGGCGTCTAGCTTCCTGTCCTCTTGTTAAGGTTGAGTGTCCACCATGAGTGGATAGAAGTGACACACTCCTTCTCACATACGTCCTTTCTGCTTGTTTCTCCGCTTTGCTGACTCCTTTGAGTTTTATTCCTGAGCCAGTTGTTGTTAATTCAGGAAACCATGTATGGTTTGTTGTGTCGTCGGTGTCAGCGGTCAGACCTGCGCCTTCAATCAGTCAGAAAAGGTCTTCTCTAAGCTGTGGCAGAAATCCACTGAAATCTCCAAAGCAGCAAAGAGCCAGAGGCTTTAAGAGGGTTGACACACTCCACAGGGCCCTCTAGTACTCTCCTCCCAGAAGCCCATGCACACGCACTCATACTCAGACACGCAACAAAAGCAAGGACATCCTCACCAACATAACCTCTACTTTCTTGCTCTGATGGCCCCAACAGTCCTGCATCAGTGCCTCTAACTATCCGCCTCAGGCTTTGGTGTTTGCTGCACACGTTTGGTATAAATCCGGACTGGAAAAGGGCAAAAACACAAAACACCCCAAATAACACACATACATGCACACCAGCTTGGAGTTCCTCAGCTCTAATCAGCTTACGGGCTTCAGTCTTCATGGTCCCTTGGGAACAGGGACCATGCTGCAAAATATTCATCACTTACATGCACTAGCGACTTCAACCTCGTCACACACGTTTAATGCAGAGGCTACTTTGGCTTAACAGCATAGAGCCTGGTCAAATATCACTACTGTGTGTGCCGGATATTTTGCACCAGCTAGCAGTGGTGGACAGCAACTAAGTACATTTACTCAAGTACTGTACAAATTTGAGGTACTTGTACTTTACTTGAGTATTTTCTTTTCATGCTACTTTCTAGATATTGTACTTTTTACTTCTCTACATTTATCTGACAGCTTTACCCAAGATTTTATACAGTACAGCTGACAGGATTATCAGACTGACACTGAAATTAACTGGCAACAACTTTGATCATTTAAAACTACTTGGTGAGGTTTTGGAAAACATCACGGTGACAACTACAGTAACGTCAATTCTGTAACCTACATAAAAACATTTAAAGTTGACTTTTTGTTTCCGACAGAAAACAAACACGGTCTCTTTGGCGTCTGGTACCAACACACACGGCAGCCTTTAGCATCATAGTTGAACGCTAAAAGTATTATTATTATTAATAACAGAAAAGTCTGAGTAAGCAGGTGTTTGCGGTGGACAGTAACTGGACTTTAACCCAGAAGAACGGTGTTTGTTTTCCACGTCCTAAGTTATGTTACTTAACTTACGTAAGTAAAGTAGTTATTTTCACCACCAATTCTTGGTGCTTAAAACTAAGCAAATTGTGACGTTGCACAACATTATCCACTAGTTTTATTTTGAAAATGTGGATGTTGCATATTTATTCTTGCCAACTTGACCGCGGAGCCCTACACAAAAATGACGCTAAAGGGCACCCAAGGTGTTAATGAGCAACGCCAAGGGTGTTGACCAAGTTGGGAGTTAGAACAGATCGTGCATTTATTTAGTTCTTTTGTCCAAAGCACTTTAGAATTTTTGTTTTTTGTTCACAACCCTGACCATCAGGAGCAACTACACCAGCTTTAAGTGTTCATAAATGACGCTTCCACCAGTGCGTTACAAACTGACTCCAAGGAGTCTTGACCATGCATCCAAAATTTACACACTGGGCTGGAATAAAGCTCTTGGAGTTTAAAGTTAAAAGGTATCAAGGGAAGGGCCCAGTAGTTGTTCAGAGTTTGGATGGATGACTCTTATTGCCATCCAAGTCCATTCTGACTTTTACTTCAGCCCACTTGGTTTATTACTTTATACTGTCTCCTCTGGTTTTACCATCCTACTCTTGCCAGTTTTACTTTATTACTTATTTATTTGTTTGTTTATGCTTCTTCCATTTGCTCTGAGGGGTTTCCTTGTAAAGCTATCTCTGTACATGTTAAGAAAAACACAGCATTTAATTTTCTGCCGCTAGGGATCTCTCACATCAAAAGAAAGACAAAAGACGTAGTTA